ACTCTTGAACTCAACGGCTCTGAATTGTGTCTCTATCCATCATTGTTTTGAACGAGAGCAGGCGCTGCGTCATTACTCTACACAGGGGAGTCACGTGTTCGCGTCGAAGGCCTGTCCACTAAATACTGACGGTGCATCTAATAATGCGCCAACTGTTAACTCAGCGGCTCTCACAAATCTCTTAGTGACAGCGTCTTTATCCTGCAGAAATAATGGACAGAAAGTCATGTCTTCAATCTATTTAAACTTCTTACAAAAATATTCAGTAAATCTTTCAGCATAGAACGGAGACAAACTTAAAATCATCAATATGTTGAGGTGTTCCTCTTCATGAGTAAAAAATAAGTTAATGAGTCAAAGAGAGTTAATTTCAATTTTTTTTTCTCTTTAGACGTAAGTTGGCATGTGACGAATCCTTCCCCATGATTAAATGCGTCCAAGTTCGCCGATAATGATGGTCTGCTCCGCGAACACTGCTCCTCGTGATGGTACAAACCTAAAAGAGGCTCATTGTGGACTCCTACAAACCATGAGAATTTTAAAAACTCTCAAAGGATATCAGTTTCAACTTTAAACAAAATATCCACACCTTCGATATTGCACGTCGGATTGGAAACAATGATTAAAAGTCAGCCAAAAGGCCACACAACATCGCGTAAGAAATTGAAAACTGGGTGTTATTGATGGAAAACTATTACTTTTAAAGCTACGTGCTGACTCGTCCTGACGTGCGATGAGATAAAAATAAATCATACCTCTGGTTTGTTTGTACTGTTGGAGAGGACAAACACACCGAAGCAATTTACGCCTTGTTCCTGTAAACAGGACTGGAGATCTTTCACAGCTGTCTGTGGTTGAAATAAACATGCATTCTAATAGAGTTTTTGAATTTCCAATTCTCTCACTGCTTCATTAATTTCGACTAACGACCATTGACACAGTATGACCTTTTATAGAGAGCAACTTCTGGTGTGATATTAGATCTGAATAATTTGGATATATCAACAAAGTTGAAATGGCAAATTGGCCACCGTAACGATTACAGAAGGTGACGTTTCGAGCGTTAGCCCTTCGTCGGAGCGTTCGAGCGTTAGCCTATTCGCTCCGACGAAGGGCTAACGCTCGAAACGTCAGCTTTTGTAATCGTTACGGTGGCCAATTTACCATTTCAACTTTGTTGATATATCCAAATTATTTCGTTACCCCCACCGACGCAGCCCCAAACAGTTTCTTTAGAAACTATCAGCCTTTATTCATTTAGATCTGAATAGTTTGGGCAAATGGGAAAATGAGTATTGATAAACGGTTCCCGTTACCAGTTACAATCAAAATCCACTATTCAAATTCACTTGGTGAACTTATGTTCTCTTAAATGGTGGAACAGAGAATTAACTCTGAAGAGTAAATTCAAGTGCTAGGAGAAACCCAAGAAAAACGCACTAGGCGTTAGCCCTAGTAAAGGGTACTAGGGAACCACACGAGGTAAAGAAAAAATGCTTATGACCTCAGTGGGAATCGAACCCACGACCTCCGGAATAGATGGGTTTCCCTTAGCACTTTAATTTACGCTTCAGAGTTAATTCTCTGTTCCATCATTTATGTTCATAGTGCTACGCGGCACAACATTTGTATGTACCCTTACTTTCTCTTCGCCGCGATTTACCACCTTAATTGACCCCGACTTCCTCTTTCCGACCTCGTAGCTTAGTCGGCAGAGCAACGGTAGATCTAATCCGGAGGTCGTGGGTTCGATTCCCACCGAGGTCATAAGAAGTTTTTCTTTACCTAGCGCTGCTCCTTGATACCTTTTACTAGGGCTAACGCCCAGTGAGTTTTTGATGGGTTTCAATCAGCACTTTAATTTACGCTTCAGAGTTAATTCTCAGTTACACCATTTGTGTTCATAGTGCTACGCGGCACAACATTTATATGTAGCCTTATGTTCTCTTAAATCCACTGAATGAAAGACAGAAATGGGAAAAAGCAAGAAAGTAATGGAACAGTAACCAACCAACAGACGTCAGCTAATGATTCCAGAGATCAGTTGAGGACAGTCCATGTCGAATTATGCTATTTCAACCGGTTTACTTTTCACTTTTTCCCAGCCTTCTCCACCTGAATGAGATAAGGTGGCCCGGTGGTTCATGTGCTCGCCTGCGGTATGGAGCCGTGGCTAGGCGGCCATGATGGCACGAAACTTAACTTTCGCTTTGTTGTTGTCCACCCAGTAGTTTGTTTGATTTAGAAAAACCTTTTATGGAAATCTTATGTGGGCAGAGATTTCCTGCTATGAGCTAGCATCTCATTTAGGGCGACAAGAAATACTCACTCTTGTTTTATTATACTGGAATAAGCTCTAACAACCGAGTTGAAGTCAGTATCCTACTGTACACCTTCAGCAGTGTATAAAAGTCTAAGCTCGTTATTATTCGTAGCTAACCTTACCTTAAATGCATCGAAATCCTTAATGCTATGACGAAATCCAACATTAACGAGTCTCACACTTTTTAACAAACAGGAGTCGAGCGTCTCACAGAATGATCTGAGAAACAACCGAATACCTACTGTGTTATGGCCCTGGAAAGAAATACATGAAACAGTGTATGAACGACAAGTTAAACCTGAAAGCATCTTCTGAGAAAAGTGAAAAAAATCTTCGCGATTACATGCAATTACCGTTGTAGGAATGGTATAATTTGAGATAAAATGACAGGGCACCCTCCCTCGCTAAATGTTATGCCATTGTACCTTGCAAACTACTTGTTCATCTGCGTGTGTGTCCTGCGTTACATAAACAACAGAAACACAGCAACCGGGAGCCACCAGCTTCAAGTTGATCTGGGATGCCTGTGATAATAGCAAATAAAATGAGGTACGTCTGTAACAAGTCAGTTTCCTCCGACTGGGCTACGTGGAAAGGTAGAGCGTTATGACGTCATGATCACCTTGCAAGCAAGTCAGCCTTAATCAGCTCTTGGTCCGCTTCAAAGTGGCGACAAAGTGGCGCTAACTACGCAAAACAGCAAACAGAATTTGACGTCATGCAGTAGATCAAATCTTTTTTTTTTTCAACAAAACTGAAGCAAAATTGTCTGAGGTTAATCTCTAAAGTCGGACTCTGAAATTACCAAAAAAAAAAACAACAATCCTCAACAGATATTGAAGCACAATTTACTAACCAAACACTGCGCCATATCTCGTGATAGTTGTCCGTCTCCAGATATGTCAGGAAGATACGTGACCTAGAAACAAAATCATTTTAAAACTCCAATGGTGAAGTAGGTTGTTCAGCTTAACTTTCTTAGTTGTGACATGAAAAACACTACAAGAAAAACACTGACAAGACAGACAAGACGAGACAGACCAGCCGAGACAGACCAGACGAGACAGACCAGACGAGACAGACCAGACGACAGACCAGACGAGACAGACCAGACGAGACAGACCAGACGAGACAGACCAGACGAGACAGACCAGACAAGACAGACCAGACAACTCCCCCCAATCATTAGAGATATAGTTTACCTCTGCAGAACCATCACTTGAAACTGTCATGTAACATGAGGCGTTTCTTTTAAGGTAACTTTGTTTTATCGTTGTTTTTTTTTTCGAAGGAGCAGATTTTGACGGCTCAAGACGACTAAAATTTCTGCTTGTATCTATTTTTACAACTTTCTCCTGATTCCAGCAGCAGGGCATTAACAAGGAGAAAACCTATAAAATTTTCTTGTTATCTACACTGCAGATGATCAGTAGATAAATATTTCCAGATTTTGGCTGCGCAAAATACCAATTGATTTTCAATCGGCTGATGGCGATAAGTCATATCGTGCGAGATCTACACGAGCATATACTGGAGGATTGTGGACTATCGGCAAAATCTTCTAAAATTAAAATCCAGACAATACACATGCTACACGAGAAGATGAAAAACACTACTCAGCACACCACTTCAAGCAGCTACTCACTAAGACCTGCTATGGTCATTTCATCATCATTGATACGGGGTCGAGTGCATATCAAGTAGTTGTATTAAACAACTCGTGCTTGGTTCGTTCAGACACATTACTACAAAATACATTCATTGTGATAAAAACAACCCAAACATACCATTTCATCTCTCTCCTGTATATGTTCATGCAGCTTTCCCGTGAACTCTGGGAAGTCTGTTCCATTTATCACCAACAGCACTTGCTGTTGCTTTTCTGATGAAAACAATCCCTGAATCAGCTATTGTAAAGAGATAAACCATACAATCCGTGCACTTACAACACATCCGTCCTTCTATTTCTACTCATATACACGGATCAACCCTGGCAACCCGAACTTTCTGTTGAATTTCTGTTGGAGAAGATCTTTTTTACTTTTGTTTTCTTAACCCAAATAAAACTTGGCTAATACAACAAACAGAAGTTGAGCACCTTTCAAGACCCCTTCGGCAGAATACAAATCCTTTCTGTAGGTAACCTACAAATATACAGTCATGCATGTTATCAGTGGTGACCCACAGCTTGGATAAAAAGAGTTATAACAAAGTTCAAAGGACTTTACCCATTTAACAAGTAGATTCCAAATTGTCATGCCTTTGTCCAGTAATAAATCAAAAATGTTGTAAGATTTGGTAACAAAAAGAGTCACTGATGTTCTTCTTCTCTATTGCTGAAGAGGCACATGGCAACAGGGAGTCTATATATTCCGCATAATAGAGAAGCACAATTTTGCTTATGGCAACAGGGAGTCTATATATTCTGCATAATAGAGAAGCAAAATTTTGCTTATCGTGACATTACCTATTCACCAGCCTTCTTATAGATCATTAGTAAGAACTAATCAAAATACATCTATGATTCCGCTCATTACATAATATGGTATCACATTGGAGACAAAATCATCATTTAAACAATTAACTTCTTCACTCCCAGATCTCATAATTAATTCTCTTTACTGTCAGTCATACAGTTCTTCTAGAGTAAGTTTGGAGAATTTGATATTGGATCAACTATTAGTCCCCTAATTGATATTTTTATTTATTCTCATTACTTGTCTGCTTGATATTGTATTGATATTGTACGGAGAAATAATGCCTTGGTCACTCAAAAGAGTAAAGGGTTAACTTACAGGAGTAACGAACAATGGCAAACAATTCCTGGCGCTTGATAAAAACTTAACTAAAATGAGGCAGCAAATTAGGTTTGAAGCTTCAACAATGTAGCCGTCCAATGAGATTGCTTGGATATCAAATCAATATGCCAATGTTCCTTGTTACTCTCACTAAGTAACCACTCATGACCATTCACAGGCTGATGCACAAATTTTACTCATCACCAACATACTTTGATTAGGATTGTAAACAGCTTAATATGTGGATGCCCTTCAATACAGTCAACTTTGTTCTCAACTGCAACTTGAAGGGAAACTTAATAGAAATTAACCATTTACATTCTAACGTTTTCCGACAATGGTACTGACATCGAAAATCTGTTGAACAATTACGAGCTTTAGGGTGGGTGATCACTTCCTGAATTCTCATTACCTTTGTTTGATTTAACAGTGATACAGTAAAAAGAAATTAAATCTCAATCAGTCTTAAGAGTTAAAGGAGATGTATGATTTTTGAGTGGTGTTAATGGTTGTCTTTTTGCCAGAAGTAAAACTAATGACCTTCCAAAGAAATTCAGGTCCATCAATCAACACAGCATTTGTATCAGCATACTTTTGAGCCAGGTGTAAACACTCTGTGCCACAATCAAAGTCATATTCTGTGCACTATAAGATGGAAAAAAAAAATACAAAAAAAAAAAATAAAAATAAATTTCTGTGTTGAACCGAAATTAAGATTTTTTCTTTGCAGAATTGCTCATCTAAACAAACCACAAATATGAGCAAGGTATCAGATGAACAAGAAAAAACCCAAAATAATGCCCTACAGTTAGAGAAAAGGAAAAGAAAAGAAATGAATAGAAAAGTTAATTAAAACACTTTCAAATTGCAAGAATACAAACATTATTTTCATTCCAAACCTTCATGTAGGCTTTCTGAATGACTTCATACTTGAAAGCTTGTGGCATTTCACTTGCCCTGAACTTTGACCTGTATGCAAAAGTCATGTTACTAAGAAATTAAATTGACACTAACATACTCTGACATCTCCATTCAATAGAACAGGCCTGATAAGTTTTCCATCTTGAAGTGTACTAAACTATGACCACAGAGAAGTACTGACAGTATAAGGAAGCAGTCCAACACTAAGATTTGGAACACAGGACTACAGATTAATTGAACATGGACCAGGTTGGGTGATGTTGAAACAAAATTGACATAAATAACAATGCCTTCATTTCTCCTCTCCTCAGTGGACAGGAAGGGCCACCTGGTGGAATTTCCTTTGCTAAATTATTATCATTATTTTTATTATATCATGCTAAATAATGAAAATAGGGCAACTGACAAATAGGAACACATGTATTCATTTAAACTTGGTATCAAATGATAACAGCCATGATGACTGACAGTGTTCATCCCAGCTTTATTCAATGTATGTTTTATTCAATGTGGGGCATGTTCTTGAATGTTTTAGGATGTTATCAATCCCAGAAAACCTTGGAAGTAACAATAACATTCAGTTTCTAATTTTTAAATATTGCCTGTTAAAAAAGTTTACACATGCAGCTCATTCTATCAACAGTTTCTGTAGAAGATACACTATTTAGTGTGCCTGTGTAATGCATGGGTAGTTGACAGTTTCTGACAGGAACTGTTCTGAGCTGTTCCAATGAGCTGTTAATCCTATTCCTACATTACCTGTCAAGTGAATGATCTAGGAACCCGTCACATGACTGAGCAACAACTGTGGATGAAAGTGGTCTGATCATCCCAGCTGCCTGAGGAAGAATAGACAAAAACAGACCCAAATTAGCAGACATGGAATTATCCTTCACAAATCATAACTTTACTTACCCCATTATTTTTAGCAGCCATTGTCACACTCCTCAATGTTTGTTCATCAACAAATGGCCGCACAGCATCATGAAGAATTACCTGTAATAAAAAAATTGAAAGCAGCTGTTCCATAAGAATTCATGGGACATCATTAGGTCACATAAGTTGTTCAAAGTCTATCGTAATATTCATTCTCCATTTAAAATGACCATAAAAAGCTGAAATAATCTCAGAACATTTGTTGTGTTATGACCTCTCAAATTGGCTTTCTTTCCAATTATTCCTGAATAGTATGAATGAGAAAAAAAAGTGTCTAAAATTTTAAAGTCTTTGATAAAAGCAATCAACAGTACATCAAAGAAACAATTAGAAAAACAGCATTAATTTCACAGCCAAACAACTGTCAAATTTGGTTGGTAGTGGTTTTTTGTTTGTTTTTGTAAAATTATTTTAAAAGTAATACTCTCAAATACCGCTTATTTCAGAGTTACTGCAAAGCAAATCAACCAAGTAGGTTTTAAAACATTTACACTGCATTGGGTTTTTTTGTTTAACTCCACACAATATGGCAGTAATACACGATGGTGTTAATGAAAAATAAATAGATGATTCGAAGATCAATTAAAAATATAATGCATTAAATAATATGGAAATGATCATGGTGATTATTGTATTTACCATTTTCACTTACTACTGTTGGAGGAGTTCTCCCATCTGCAGTGAGTGCTTGAATACCATTCCATAATGATCTGTGTCTATTAATATTTAGAAATAAAAAAAGATCAAACAACATGTCAGCTTGAATGCTCATTTCTAGAAATAATAACCAACAGTGTACACCACAGAGATTTTTCTTATTAATATCCTTTGGCCTCTTGTTTCATAAAATGCATCCTAGCTATGTAATCCTATTTCTCATCCTCATCATCTCATTAAGTCCTACTTCTCATCATGATAACCGGGGATTTCAACATACATGTTGATCAGCTGAGTGATCCAGATAGTGATATTTTTCTTGAGTTACTTGAATCTATGGGTTTCCTCCAACAGGTGGATAAACCGACGCATCAGTCGGGTCACACCCTTGATTTGATTATCACTCGACAATGTGACGTTGTTCTGGCTAGTGCTCCCACGACTGACTACTTTCTATCAGACCATTGTTCTGTCTTATGTGATCTCAATGTTGTGAAACCGGCCTTACCAACAAAAACAATATCCTACAGGAAAATTAAAGATATTGATCGGCAAATTTTACGTGAACTCAAC